AAACCTGCAGCAGTGACGACACACTTTAAATCTCCGCCAACGCCCGCTGTCGGTCGGTTCCCTGTAAACTCAATATGTTCGAGGGAGCAGAACGGATCTGCGACACGGGGGTTTTAATGATCTATAATGAAAACCGGGCCGTTTGGATGACGTCTATCTTTGAGTGTGACCTACCTCCACCCTGCATCATCTTATAGATTTTGCTCTCAATGTGGAGCTGTGGGTGTTTGGTCTTCACACATTCCAGTTTGATGGCCACCTCCTCTCCGACAGAGATGTCAGTACCTGGACAGAGAGAGATGAGACACACGTTAGCTCAGGGCTAGGCTAATAAAGTACATTTAAGATCTGTTACAGTCGTTGTCTTCATTGAAGAATTCAGTCCAACTCCAACTTCAGCTCCATATAAATCAGTGTTGATTGAAGTGACAACGGAGTCACAACAAAATAACTAGTTTAACAGAGTAAAGTCCAAATAGATGATAGCGCCTGCTGTACCCTGCTGTCAGAACATGTGTGGACCTGCACATACAGCTCAAATTCCTCTCTGCTTTCACTAAATGTTTTTTTTTTTTTATCAAACTTTGACAGGGAACAGGATTTGGACTGAACCAGACCAGCGCTGCTGACAACTCTGTTCTTTACCGTGGTGTTTATTCTAAATACGGTCATCCTGGACTTCAGCTCTCTGCAGAAGGCAACCAGACACCAGGTTATGTAATCCTATAACACACACACTCTGGCAGCTGTCTGGTGCTGTAGGTTAACAGCAGCACTGATGGAGCGTCAATGATTCTCCAGGACCAGGTCGTACACACAACCAGGATGTGCTCCACCACCGCGGCCTGTAAATGTGTCCCTCAGTCATTCAAATTATCCAGCGTAAAAAAAAAAAGTTTTTACTGCATGTATCACGTGTCTGTAAGCCAAAAAAAAATGTTTTTACTGCATGTATCACGTGTCTGTCAGCTTCTGATGGGATTAGATTTAAGGTGTGCCGAGCCTCTCGGTGACGGCTTTAATTTTTAGTTTATTTTAGATCAAGTTTCACACGTAAACAAAAGTCTGACTGTCTTCAAAAACTCAACTATAATTAATAATAAATATTATGTAGACACTGTAGAACATGACAGAACATTACTGCTTTTTACCTCCTTTAATTGTAGCATTTGTTTTCTCAGGTTAGCCGTCTGATGCTAAATAAGTAATAAAGGATCAATTTAAGGATTTAAACTTGCCCAAAGCAACACATTAGTCGTCTTATGTCAGGGTTGTGGTTTGTACCGGTGCCAATCAGTCAATGATATGATGAAAACACTGAAGACACAGACATCAAGAAAACGAGGAAAAGAAGCTGATTGGTCAGGATTGATGTTTCAAATGAAAATGTAGACAAAGAAAAGTGACTGTTTTTGTGTTTATATACATTATATTTATATATATATGCGTGTGTGTGTAAGAAAGTATGTACATGAGTTTTCCTGTGAACTAGCGCTGCTGACTCGACATGTTTAGACATGTTCCTCTATGACGCTTCACAACAACATACACTCATGTGTTCCTACAGTGAACCACACACACACACACACACAGTGTATCACCCTGCATTTAATAATGGCCCAAAAGCACACGCAGCACTAAATTACGGTATAGAAGAGAAATGCTCTTATTAAAGATCACATTCTGGAAATTCACACCACGGACGCCGGCGGCCTGCTGAGAAAGTTGTGAAATAAGTTAAACCAAGTAGAGAATACTGAACAAATATCTACCACTACTACCCCCTCCCTCCTGCCACCAAACCCCGTGGGGGGTTCAAACCTCCGGCAGCAGGAAGAACAGTTCTGGTGACGTACATCTTTACACGGCAGCTGACGGTGATGACGGCGATGACGACCATGAGCGCGACTTCTGACATGATTACGAGCTGTGCAGCTTCACGTGTTAGTGGAATAAATGACTAAAAAAAAAAAAAAAAAACCTGAGTCACTGGCAGAGTTCGCCTGGGCACGTCTTTGATTCCGTTATTGTGTAGGCCTCAGGACAGCTGCAGTCAGCTTCAATTATATAAGTGGACCCAGCCCTTTTAACACACACTGACGTTTGCGTTGACACAACGAACAGTGAGTATTGGGAAAAAGTTCAATTCCAACTGAACTTTTAGATTCCACGTGTCTATGCCGTGGGTACAGGCGTCTAACTCACATAGTACTTTTAATTTTACTTTTTTTTTTTCTAGTTCAAATGGAACTGTATGTAATGTGGTAACGATTGAACTACTACGAGTGAGTAGTATTGGTCGGAAATACTAAATACTGAATAAAGAAATTACATTTTTTTAAATAATTTTCCAATGGCATCTTGGTAACAACAAGAAACCGAAACAATAATTCTAACTATTTGAATAGCGTGATATTTGGGGTAAATATTTGACAGCTCAGTATTTTCATTAACTAAAGTTTACTTTTGATTTTAAAAGTATACATGTCGGTATCACTCCCATAAAAAAAAACCCATCAGGCACATTAAGCACAGAAACTGACTGTTGAGTCCTGTCAAAACTTTGATGTTGTGCAACACTGAAACCAAAATACTTCCCCCTTCCCACCAAACTGACAGTTTAGGTAGTACTGAAGTTATTCAGTTAAGTATCGGAGAAAACATTTTTTTTTTTTTTAAACAGCCTTAGTTTCTCAACATTTTAATGACCTAATGGCACATTAAAACCAAAGACAACGGTCCAGACTTACACGGTTGCACAAGTGTATTTGTACCAGAATTTCAACATAAATTCAATGAGCACATGATGAAATGTACCAGCTGATGAAAAGTACCAGCTGATGAAAAGAACCAGAGGACAGTCAACAGACAGATTCAACCTGGTTCTGACTCAACAGCTTGACTAACACGTTATACACTGGTGTATCATGTTCTGGTTCTTTCACGGTCCATGTTTGAACCCAGTCACCATGAGTCCAAGAGCTGACCTCACCTCACCTCCTCCTCCTCCTGCTGCTAGTAACAGGCTGCCCCTCATACCAACACGGGCACAACCCACTGCCACACACTCAGGCATCTCCACACCATACTGGTCACACACTGTCAGCATTATTAAACACACTGGGCTCTTACGCAGCGTGGGAGTATTAATACAGGGCTTGTGGGTAGAGGGAATTGCACCAGTACATCAGATTGTGACTGTACTTTTAAAACTTTATTTACAGTAACTACAGTTGAGTCATGCCTACTTGAGATCTTCGGTTCATAATCCAATGTCCTGCACATTAAAATCATAAACATTACAGTGAAGATTGTGGCTTTTTTAGTTTTCAGAAAACCCCTTTAGCTTGTTAGCGTAGTTACGTAACATCAGTCCCAGCTGCTCAGAGGGTAGAGGACCAGAGTACAAACAAAAACACAAAGCCATTATGTAAGGGGCAAACAGCTCTTACTGTCAGAAAGTCAAGCCGTTGGAAAACCAGCCCGTCTTAACTAGGATTAGAAAATCTCAAACGCTGAATAAACAGCCAACATAAACAACAACATGGTCAAACGTAGAGGGACGAGCGAAAAAGTAACATTCTAATTTTATTTTAATTATTATTTTAATTTGCATCAACTCTGCCAGAGGAAAACAGCATATTTGTCAAAATCTGTTTTTCTAGCAGACAACAACAGGAAGCAGAAGTGTTGACAGACCAAAAGTATTTCAAACACTTCCCCTCATATGTTGCAGACACTTGTTTGTCACTCTGTATTTCACAGAATAAATGCACAACCCTACATCTGGTTAAAATTTGTTTATGCTTTAGCTTATATAAAAAAAGGCATGTTACAAGTTAAAAAAATAAAATCATTCAATCAATTTTTTAATAAATCAATTTATTTGTCATAACATTTTCCATCATTCCTGAAAATGAGTTTCAGTGGCCAGTATATGGTACTGCACTGTTCTCCACACCTTGATTAGAGGCCAGTGATGAAGTGATCACTCCACAGTCTGTAAAAGTGTTTCATGAATTAACAATGTGGCCTCTCTATTGTTTTTCAGATGACCACGACTGAAGCTCGGAAACGTGATCATCTGTTTTTAACCACTGTTGCCAAGAGCATTTGTTATAAGCAGTACAACTGAGTCACCGACATGTGTCTGTAATTAATTTGTCATTAAGTTGTTGAGGACTTTGTTCGCCACAACAGGAAGCTTTGGTGAAGGGTTTCAACTCAAAGGGCTTCAAGTGTTGTTTTATATCATTTATTTCTTTTACTTGACTATCAATTTAAAGGTGGATCACAAAAAGGGAACCTCTGCTTGGCCCAAGAGTGAAGCTGGAAAAAAAATTTGAAAAAGATGGTAGAACAATAAACATTCTACAAGTGCAGAAATTGTAACTACACAGTATTTAACATCAGGTCTAGTATTTTTTTAATCTGACATCAACATCAACACCAATTTCTAGAGTTCAACATTAGTCACTTCAAAACAGAACTAATCAACTGTGATTTTACCTTCATTTATTGCAGAAATAACTAGAATACTGAAATTATTCCGTGACAATATCACCGAAGTTCGCAGTTTATATTTTTATAAACTGCTGCTGAATGTCTCACTGGAAACAAGAGCAGGACACAGAAAAAAGTCTGTCGTATTTAGAACTGACTGTTGGGAATTACTGTTACTTAACCCTGGTGGCAGTAAATAGTAAATCCCACGGCCTGGTGGGCTATTCTGTCCCTGGACTACTGCTGCCTCTGCTGATTAAAGGCGGAGAGCCAAGTCAATCTTCGGCTAGTTGACTTGGTCAGCAGCTGTCAGGCTCCAGCTACAACACAATTATCGTTTATTAAAACATTACGTTATACTATTAAATGGAATACCATACCCTTAATGGTCTGAGGTTTGATTTAATGTTTTAAGGTATATAATAGTAGCGGGAAACTATGTTGGTTGCTATATGAGAGCTAGCTTAGCAGCTGGACACCTAACAAGGAACAGCTGATCGACCAGCACCTCCTTTAAGAAAACCCGGAAAGGAAGGACAGTGGATAGAAATAAAAGGTGGAAAGGGACAAAAATAAAGACATTCTGTTAGACGTCTTTAACCAGAACTCACCTAGGTATATGTCTCCAAATGATCCACTTCCAATTTTCCTTCCCAGTCTGTATCGGTTTCCTACTCTCAACTCCATGGTTAAGCTGTTCTCTGCTAGCAAGCGCACTCGCTAGCTCCAAATTGTAAAAATAATGTTCAGAGGTTATGTCCAAAGTGCGTTTGAATGCAGAACACGAAAACCAATTTCACACAGATATTTTCCAGCGAAGAAATGTTCTCTCTGTGTTGCCTCCGGGTATCTTTGGTTCCAGCAATCTTTCGCCACTTGTTTTAAAATACTACAAACATCACACAGTGACAATACAGCACTTGTCGTGAAGCTGAGAGTGTGTACTTTATGCTCTCGTTGATTTCGATGTGAAAAAAGCGTCCGTGTCCACGGATGAAGACGGATTTTAAGGGCAGAGGTTGGAGATTCAACTGAGACTTTCACCCCTCTCTCTGTTTCCACTGATTCTCTGTGAAGATCCTGATCATCTGCTGTGTCTCTGGCGTCATTTCCGGGATGGTTTACGCATATCAGAGAACGTTTCAGCGAAGACTCACCGCCATTTAGCGCTGTCGATAACTGAACAGGAAAAACAAAATTATTACGCCCCTCATAACACAATGACAAAACAGAGACCTTTATTAAGTTTGTTTACTTAAAACTTACGTTCGATATCTCACGTGCACTAAAAAATTAAAAAATGGCACATGTTTTTATATGTATGAGATGATTCTAAACCATTTCGGTTGTTTCCTTAGACCCCTGCAAAGATGTTAAATCCGAACGACGAGTACTTGATTTTAACCCCACTACATATACACACTGCGTTTATGCTGTCTCTTTTGTTAGCGCCCAATCTCTTCAAAGTAAAGGTCTCTGGTTCTGCACAACAACAAAAGATAGGTTCCTTTGTCCATTTGGCTTTGGTCCACTATCTTATATAATGTGATTTTTGCCCGGGTTTTGTCAAATATGCAATAAAAAGAATTACGTCGATAAATTAAGTTTGTGGCATTACGTACATAATAGCTTCACTCTAACATTTATTGTGGTAAATGTCAAGTGTAAGTGGTAAAACTTTAGCGTTTTAGCAAAATTGAAACAATTTATGACAACAACAAATATAAGCGAAAAATATATTGCTACGCCGCCAGGTTCTGATTTGAGCTGTAGGTTTTTGTTTTTTGTTTTAAATTCACAAATACGCTTTTACTTTGAAAGTTAAAAGCAGGAAACGTCGCACCTCCGTCACCGGTGTTTCTGTTTCCGTGAGCAGCTGTCATACAGACCAGCGCGGGTTTTTGTGGTTTCCAGCGGTATATGATCAAAGAAACAACATTTGAAATGGAATTTACCGTGAAAAGAAGTCGAGAGAAGATCGGCGACGACGACGTTAATGATGGCAGAGTCAGTGGAAAGAGGGAGAAGGAAGAAAGAAGGTACTGTAGTGTGGGTAAAGTCAGAAAAAAAAAACATTCAACTGCAGTTAGTTCTTCTTTTTTATATATATGTCCACCGCCATAAACTGAATTTACGGTCAGTAAAAACTTACTTAAACTTAACAACAAACTAACTCGACTGTGTTATAACATTGTAGTAACTTTTAATGGCAAGCGTATGGGCATTAACTCAGGTATTGTACGTCAAGTTTTACTGTACTTTGGAAAAAAGTCATTCTTGTTGACTTAGCAGATACAGTTAATATGTTTAATGTTAAAAATTAAACCAAGTTCCATTGTTACTTATTTTTCTTTCATTCACTGAAAGGGATTTCAAATAGGGCTGGAACCCACCCTCTATCTGCTTCTGTTTACTTTTGGGGCCTCATTTTCAATGAGTACTGTTATATTAACTCAGGACAGACTGAAGTAAGATATGTTTCTGTTTGTGTACTGCTGCGTACATTGACTGAAAGTCGTGCTACATTTCTGCCTCTCTGCAGCCAGGAGTCCTGTTTGGATCAACCCATGGATTCAAACAGTACCTATGAGGTCATCAAGTACACACCTTCACAGTTACCAGGTGGGAAGGCGACTCAGTTCAACTCTCTACTATAAACTACCAGGAACCAGTACGTTTCAAATGCAGTTTTCTTTTCCCCCGTAGCTAGTCATTATGATGCAGACACGACGGAACCGATCATCTGTGGTCTCCAGACCTTGGAGGATCTGCTGTCATGGAACAAAAGTCGCGCCAATCCCTTCAACGTAGCGATCGTCCCTTTGGCATCCCGGGAGCCTCCTCTGAACATCACCCCTCGTCGGACATTGATATCTCATGACATGATGGGAGGCTACCTGGATGACAGGTAGGAATGTTGAGGAATTTTTAAATGCATGATAAAAACTATTGAATTTGGCCATAACTAGGGATGTCAGATATCACGAGACAATTCAACCGATACCGATATACCCCCCGCCCCAGCATGCTGCATACAACTCCTGATTATTAAATATTAACAAAATGAGCTGCAATGCTGTCATCTAGTGGATTTCACCTTCATATTCAGCCGATTTTCCCCCAAACTATTTTATGTATGTATAATCTATTTAAAAAAAAATAAAAACCTCATAATTGCCATGCTTCCTTTGTGGCCCAGGTTTCTCCAGGGGACGTGCTCAGAAGCCCCCTACGCCTTCTACCACTGGCACCACATTGATATTTTCAATTACTTCACACACACCTTGGTGACCATTCCGCCTGCCGTGTGGACCAGCGCTGCTCACAAACACGGAGTCGTCGTAATCGGTGAGTGAAATGGCTCTGAAGAACAATTCAGGTATATTTGACGGCATGATCATTTAAATATGGAAAAAAGAACTCTGGACTTCTGATGTGTTTTCTCACCTCGTCTGTGATTGGCTCGTCTTTCAGGAACATTCATCACAGAGTGGAAAGAAGGCGCTGCAGTGTGTGAGGCCTTCCTTAAAGACGAGGAGTCGTACCGGGCCGTCGCCGATAAACTGGTCCAGATCAGCCACTACTACGGCTTCGATGGTTGGCTCATTAACATAGAGAATAAACTGAGCGTAAGTCGATGACGTCCACACTGATCAACACGTTATATAAAACGTCCCAGTGTGAAAATCTGTCGAGAGTTCGATTCCACAAATTTCATATACCACACAAATGATCTAAAGAAGGTGACCATGAGTGCCCCCTGTCTGCTGCCTGACTATAAACATCAACACTTTGGTCTGGTTGATTTACATCAGTGATCATCAACTGGTGGCCTGCGGGCCAAATCCGGCCTGCCGAGCCATTTTGTTTGTTCTTTTTATTTGACTGTTCGGCCCCCCAGGGTGTCTGTCCAGAAAGATTCTGTGAGGAATAGCAACAGATTATGTGTGTGTGCTCTCCTCTGCTGGCAGGAGGGGGCAGTAAAGAACACACCTTTGTTCCTGCGCTATCTGACAGACCAAATGCACGAGCGAGTGACCGGCAGCCTGGTCGTGTGGTACGACAGCGTGCTGGAGACGGGAAACCTGGACTGGCAGAACCAACTCAACCAGTCTAATAAGTAAAGACATTTGAATCGACAGAAAAATCCAAAGTGTGACGTCAAACCATCGGCTTTTAAACGACTGACATCAATTACATGATTACATTATGTTAAAGTGAAAAATACGAAGTGTGACATCATAAGCATTGTCTTTTAAACGACTGACACCAATTACATGATTACATTATGTTAAAGTATGTAAATACCATTGTTTTTCATATTTTAAATTAGGATGTTTTTTGACTCCTGCGACGGTTTCTTCACCAACTACAACTGGACGGAGGAAAACTTGGTGGAAATGAAGAACTACAGTGGGCTCCAAGGCCGCGAGGCCGACGTCTACGTCGGAGTAGACGTGTTCGCCCGCGGAAATGTGGTCGGAGGAATGTTGGAAACTAACAAGGTAGAGGAGACGCCGCGGACCAATGTGCCCAGTTACAAATACACAGTAATACTGCAGTACGTATGTGTTGGGATCTCATTCGTTCCTCAGGCTCTGGACGTCATCCGGAAACACGACTTCTCCGCAGCCATCTTCGCCCCAGGCTGGGTTTACGAGAGTAACGACGACAAGACGGAATTCCGACAAAATCAGGATATGTGAGTTCATCACACAATCACTTCTAGAACCTGGCACTGCAAATTTTGAATTTTTTCTAGATTCAAAACAATATTCTAGGGGCACTGCTCCGTCTTCCATCAGATAAAAAAACAATATTCTAGAGGCACTGCTCCGTCTTCCATCAGATAAAAACCGTATTGTTTTTGTGTTGTGTTGTATTTTATTCCTAATCTTTCTTCCAGGTTCTGGTCTCTTCTGTCAGATTATCTGTACACTCACCGACCAACGTCTCCTCTTCCCTTCACCTCCTCCTTCTGCCAGGGCTTTGGAAAGGCATTCTACTGCAGTGGAAAGGTAATGATGAAGGTGGGGGAGGGGAGGGGGTTACATGTCATGTCAGCATTACTGCTGCACTGCTAATTTAATTAAAATCTTGATTTTAAAGAGAGCTTCATTTCACTGTTCTGTTTTTGAGGGTTAATAAACTTTGATTTCAGATATTAATGTGCAAGAAAATATCCATACACACCCCTTGTAAATATTAAAAATGCAACATGAAACTGCATTATTTTTACTCTGTGGGTTTTCAGCAAGAGACAGGAAGGAGAACCGTTTTTCTTACTCTATGGGTTTTCAGCAAGAGACAGGAAGGAGCTGGTTCAACCTCTTGGCTCAGGAGGTCCAGCCTCTGTACTACCACACCAAGCTGAAGGAGCAGGGCTGGCTGAGGAGCCGCGGCTGCCCAGAGGACGGATGGAACGGAGGCTGCTCCCTGCTGCTGGAAGGCCTCATCCCTGCCGCTCACACAGACCCCGTGTCCGCCAAGTCAGTGTGTGTGTGTGTGTGTGTCTGCACATTTTCATATTACTACTGGTGCTAGTGTCGGCACATAAACCTCTGGCGTCTTTGTCTCAGGATCTTCTCCCTCCACATCCCTCTGCCACCAACCGTCCTGGTGACCCTCATCTGCAAACCGTCTGATGACGTCAGCGTCTTACTGGAGCTCAAGACAGCAGACGGCCAGGACGGCAAAGGTGAGTCTACGTTTCTTATTTCACACTGTTGAAGATAACGAACCGTCTGTGCAGTTAAGAGGCGTTGAGTTCATCTTGGAGCACGCTGTCTCTCTGTTTGAACAGCTCAGAGCGAGAACAGACTCCAGGATATTTGTTGATGCTTGGTTTTGATTGGCTGCTGTTCCAAGCCAAACTAGAACTAGTTTCTGTTTGTGTCATGTGTTTCTTCACTTATCTAGATCCTGGTATCACCTGCAGTTGTTTGTCCTTTCCTTTCATGTCAACAGCCACCTGTGTGCGACCTGACGTACTAGAGAGGAATCATCAGCTGGTCAGCGACCTCTCTCAGCTGTGTGGGACCTTGAATCCAGACGGTTGGACTGTCAGGTACTGTCAGTCACCTTGTCCAGAGCGTTCTGCCTCCTGAGGAGTATTCAATACATCTGCCTCGTCTCCCCTTCTGTCCCTGGTGCAGGTGTCATCAGCTGGAGCACCTTGTCTGCACCCTCAGAGAAATATGTGTCAGTATCCAGAGCAGAAGAAAAGATGTGGACGTGCCCTTCACCTGCAGGGTGGGGGAGATCATGGTGAGACAGAACCGATCTCATACTGCACAAAACTATACCAGAAGGTCTCACAATTAGTCTAATTACTCCCCCATCAGAAATCCCATTGTGTCGTTTTTGTTCTCCAGCTCCTGGACGCGGCCAGTCTCCACCTTCCCCCTGAGAAGGTCCAGGGTGTGTGTATTTACGACGTAGTGTGGCTGTCTGGTTCCACTGCCACCTCACCTGACTCCGACCCCACCGGTCTGCACCTGAACGCCACTCTGCAGTGGGACTACCCCACGGAGCAGGTGCGCCACTTCAAAGTGTACTGGCGCAGATTGAGGGGACCCGACCCACGAAACCCCCCAGGCCAACTGGTGCTGGTGGGACGGGCGTACACCAACCTGTACCGAGTCACCGAGCTGGCGGTGCCACAGCCGCCCTGCGTTCTGGAGCTGGTGGTGGAGCCTGTGATCAGGAAGGGCTTCCTGGTTCCAGAGAGACAGTGGGGCAGAAGACGTCTGAGTTACACGGAGGACGTTACACCGTGACGGGGGTCTCACCGCTGCTTCAGCCTGAGGAAGATCAGCTGACCTACATTAACCAACCACAGATCAGTCAGCTTTAACTACATTCATGCATTCAGCAGACACTTTTATACAAAGCGACTTACACCAGGTTCCTCTGGGAATCAAACCTAGGACTCTATATCTCGAGGCGGGCGTGCTAACCGCTACACCATGGAACACATTACATATTTGTAGTTAATCACGTGTCGTTATAATGTATTATCTGCAGTATCAGTGTTGTTAGTTTAACTTCTGAATAAAGAACGTAAATATTTGGATCTAATGACTGGAAATGACAACTGGAAATGTCTTGCCATTTTCTCCCCCTACTGGCTGCTCTCTACTATTACACCAACCATCTCCATATCCTACGTGATTCCAGTTTCTTAAATTAAACAACCAGGTGTAGTTTTACCTTCACGTCTTCTTCAGAGGTCCGACTCGATGTCCTCGTGACCCGTCCTTCGTTTGTTTCCAAAAAGCAAATTTTGCCGTGGCACACCTGCAGTGCTGCCCTCTGGTGACGGCCTGTAGGCAGGAGGTGTGGTTCTCTGAGGAAGGACAGGAGCTCACACCAAAACACATCAGTGTAGAAAAACTACACGATTCTGTGACTCTAAGGAAGTTGAAGAAAACAAGCTGTGTCGCTGTGAATGTTTGTGAAATCTTTTATTTGGATAGATAAGTTCAGACGGTACAAAAAGGATGCAAAAAAAAGAAGACGGTTCTAGAAACAGTCCAATTCAAGTAAGAAAATAGTCCTTTAAAAGCGTGAGTGACTTGAGGTTGAACGTAGCCTGTGACCATTTCTCTGCTGAACTGTGGAACCACAGGTTCAGCCGTTAAAATCATCAACAACACTGCTCTACAGGAAACTACTTCATCGACATCATGCACCATGGGAACCAACAACAGACCTTTAGAGAAAAAACAAATGTGCTGTTTTTTCTTTATTTTATCTTTACTCTGCACAACAATGGTTTTTAACTATTGGTTTTAAATTCATCCAAATTCACCTTGGCCTCAGATTGAGATTTTTATTAAGTTCCAATGAGACTGGAAAGACGAAAGACTGGAAGATGGGTTTGTGGTAATAAAAAGATGCTAAACTAAAATGCTAAAACAATAATACCGAGGAATTGCCAGTGGTATGCAAATGGAAGAGGAATCGCCAGTGGTATGCAAATAGAATCAATATTAAATATTCTGACGGGTTTTTTTTCCATGCAATGTCATCTTTTATCGGCAGAAATCAATATTAAATATTCTGACGGTTCCGTTGGATGTTTTTTTTTCATGCAATGTCATCTTTTATCGGCAGAATTTTCCATTTCAACTCTGAGAGAAATACGAAACAGGAGGTTTGCAGCCCGGGTGTCATTTCTGCCTCAACGTTCAGGTCGATTTAAAGGGTTTTTTTTTTCTTTTCTTCACCGAGACTGAGGAACATCACGAGTACCGAGTCGACAGCGGATAAGAAGCCAAGTGTATACGCAGTTATTATATGGAAAAAATAAACCAGTTGACTCTCTTCTTACTGTCACACCACAGAACAAAGTACAGCATTCTTCTTCTCACAGTAGCGTGCACGTGTCCACTCAGCGTTTTACCCATCGAGGAGAAAAGAAGAAACGCTTCAGTTAAAAAACAAACCAGGAAGATTCTCGGCCTGTTGGTGTCTCCAAACTACAGTTACGGGCCGTTTAAATAACCAGACATTTATGCTTAATGTTTTCTTATTTACAGTGTAGGCGTGAGGACGAGGCGAGACCAAAAAAAATAAAAGTCAGTGATGAGTCAGGTCACTTTAAAGGTACAGAGACAGAGAGGAGTGGGACCTGCTTTGATAATTAATGAGCGCGGTCGGTGGGTTACAGCAGCCGGTGACAGAAAAATCCTCTGAGTGAACGGTTTGACCTTCCACTGAGGGCCTGACGTCTCTGGAGGTAATAGAGTGGTAACAGTCATTGTGAGGTGTTGACTGGGGTCCTGGTATAAAACAGCCAGTGGAGTTACAGCTGCCTGTTCGCAGTTATCTGAGTCCATTTAAGTTACAGGTTAAAAATATTTCTTTTTGAGATCAGAATGTGCTCTTTGGTGACACGTCAGTCAGGAACTACAGATGATGATGCAGTTACACACATGTTGTGTACACGAAGCTAAATGATGGAAGGGAAAACCTGGGCTCTTCAAATTAATCGCGTGTTAATTATTGGTTAAATAGACTAAAAAGAGAATCTGCCATGCATCACTGACCTCTCTCTCTCTCTCTCTCTGGCCCTGTTCAGACAAACAACACTTTCCATTCTTGTTCCCACCTGGTCCAGTGACCATCGACTGTGTGTTTCCAGTCCAACGTCTGCTGCAGGACAGGGCCTCCATCTTCTCTATCTATGGAATTTAAACGGAGGTGCAGCTGCAGACTCTTACATATCAAACTGTTGGCTGCTCTGGGTGGGGGGCAGTAGCGGCGGTGGTGGTGGAGGTGCCGGATCCTCTGAGGCAGGTGGAGGAGGAGCTCCCGCGGGTACGTTGGGGTTGGGCGCGGGGGTGTGAGTCTCCTGGGCGGGCGGCGGGTCAACGGCAGCTGCGGCGGGGCTGGTCTCCGAGGGTGGGGCCGGCATGCTGATGCTGCTGCTGCTGTTGCTGTCGTCACTGGGGGCGTTGCTGCTGGGGGTGCTGCTCTCCCTGGTTTGGTCGGGTGGAGGGGAAGCTTTGTCAGAGGCAGAAGATGGAGGATCAGACGAGGGTGGAGGAGCAGGGTGGGGGTCCGAGGATGGTCCAGCAGCCGCTGCTTTATCTGAGGGTGGAATCAAGAAAAGACAGGTTTAAAACTGAAGTTGGTTTTTGTTTTTTGACAGGTGAATGCAGACTCAGTTGTACCTGTGTCCATCGGTTGGGGCATGTCTTCCTCCTTGGTCCCTGAATCGGCGTTAGCTGTGGTTTTAGCATTAGCACCATTTTGTTCAGCATCCTGCTGCTGCTGCGCCGCCTGCTGAGCAGCCTTCTCCGCCTGCTCTGCTGCCTCACGCTCCCTCTCCTCCGCCCGGCGACGAGCGGCCTCCTCAGCTGCTGCCATCTCAGCTGCGAGCTTCTCCATGTCCACCTCCACCTTCTGACTGCACAGCTGTAGACCAGGATCAGGATTAGAGCTCAGATGTGCAGCAGGACGACATAAAATAATTCATCTCAATGTCAATATTCCAAGAAGATGTTTGGAGTTTTTGTATTTTTACCCTTTTGAGTTCAGTGTTGAACGTGTCGGTGGTCTCCAGGAAACGTCTTTTCTTGTCTTGGTGACGATCCTCAATCTGCAGAAGTTCAGCCTCCAGCTTTCTCTGCAATTACAAACAGATGCAGGACGACTTTGAGCCGACTTCAAACTGCGTTCAAAGACGATTCGTGTGTTTCAACTCACATAACACTGCGGAGTACACATCCTGCTAACTCACCTGGTGGACCATTAGAGACTGGACCTGCCTCTTGAGGACCTGCATGCGTCCTGTGGTGACCACTGAGCGGACATCAGGCACCACGAACTCACTGAGGATGTCACTGATGAGCCGGTGGTTTCGCTGGAAGCGAGCAGCTGCTGTGTGCTTCACCGAAAAGCCATCGTCGTAGTCTGGACAGGAGAGACTCACACTTAGCCGACTGACTTTGTTTCTAGATGAATTGTTGATATTTGAGGGTCAGGTATATTTAGAACTTGCCATCGGGGTCTTCGGCAGGCTGAATGCTCATGTACGGGTCGCCTTTGTCCATACGGCTCTGCCTCTGTCGACTCTCCTCCTCCATGGCGGCCTCCGCTCGGTTCTTAGCATTGACGTAAGCCAAGTAGGCTGGAGAGTTGTGGTAGGCCTTGAGTGAGTCGTTATACTCAATCTGAGAGGAAAGAGGGGGGAGAAGAAGGTGAGTCTTGAACTATTGAAGGTGTAAGAAAATATAGATACACTGAAATATCGTGATGTTGATTCATTTCCTTTTTCTTTCTTCTCTAGTGATTCCAAATGTAGATCCCTCTGGCCAGACTCTTGCCAATACACACCCCGTGAACTATAACATTTTTCTTGGAGCCGGGACAAAACTCAACGTGTCGTCGTGACTATAGAATCGCAGTATATTGCATGATCATATCGCCAGACTCTTGCCAATACACACCCCTGTGAACTATAACATTTTTCTTGGAGCCGAGGCCTGAACTCACTTTCTCTGCCTCGTACTCGTTCAGATAATCCTGCTTCTCTTCATCCGTCAGGTCTCTCCACATCCCCCCAATGATCTTCCCGATTTCCCACAGCTTCAGGTCTGGGTTGGACGCCTTCACTTGGTCCCATACCTTAACATAGACACAAGACACAAACATGTGCACAAGCAGAGGCAATGCCCCCCCACACACAGGCACGCACGCACACAGACAAACACGTGGTTATTGGAGGTCGAGTGTAGTCCAAGACGTCACTACGAGACCACTACCAGTGACGGAAATGAAGTTGGAAACAAGTGCAGACAGAATGAGGAGATTTACTAACTCATCTACTGATAAAAAAAAGCAACAACTTGACTTAAGCCAAAGACAGGAGTGTAAAGATTAAACGGATGTTACTGATTTATGTCAACTTGAGTGTTTAAGTTAGAGGAAATCAATGGTGCAGTGCAGAGAAGCCGGAGAGGCGAAGCCATTCAGGGAGGAAACAACAAAGCTGCAGCAGTGACCCATGCTTGCACATGCGTGTTATTTGGTTTTTAGTGCAGACAAACAGAGGAAGCTACTGTAAGGTATCGGGATAACAGAGTGGAAAGTCTCCACTAGATGGCTGAGGTGGTGGTGAGGCGTCATGGCTTGGCTGTCTCCCACCCTCAAAACTGCGGCACCTTTTTAGGGGATGGGAGGACAAGCAGTAAAAGCAGACACCGTGGATGGGTGTCTTACCTTCCTGCTTACCTTCCGGCTGTACCGCATGTAAGGCATCAGCGGCTTGTCTGGTGGCTTAGGTGGCTTTGGGACGGTGATGCCTGAGGAGTTCTGTTGGAAGTGGGAGAGAAACATGTGTGAGACAGAGCATTAAGTACCAGAGGGAACAGCTAAATCAGACACAAAACAACCATCAGAACACACCGACTACACTGAGGCCTCGACACGTAAACATGATGATTCACCTCATGCCAATGCTTCAGAATGCTTTTTTTTTTTTTTTACAAAACAGGACGAAAGCATCAAAACATGCGCATCAACTCGTTTACATGCAAGTTAAAATAAAATCAATTTTAGCAGCCAAAACTAGAAACTGGGGCTCCAAACAGAAAAAGGCCGACCACACAAACATTTACTGTGGGGAAACAAAGATGAGCGACCATGTGGGGGTGGGGGGGCTCAGAGAGGTCACACAACATCTGGATACGACGGTGTGGTTGGTCAGCAGCTGTTCACACCAGACTTTTGAGTCAATACACCAGGTAACAAAAGTGTGCTCAATGGCAGCACAAGATTAATGAATTTATTTTTAAATTTCAAACATGTCCCCCAGTAGTAAAAAAAGGTTGTTAATGTTTTCATTAAAAATGTAAAAAAAAATATTATCAGTGATGCAAAAATCAAAAAAAAAATTATATGGTGTCAATTCTACAAGGTGGTTTACATTATTGTAGAAATTTAATTCCTTAGAAATCCTTAATTTTGAAATATCGCAATATTGTGTTTAATTCAACAGATCAACAGATTGACCATAACTTATCCATGAATATATAGTTTTGGAGTTGTGACAAAAAGCATTGACCAAAAAATGCAGTGTTTTTAAACGTACACTTTTTAAACCCCCTCCACATTTAACATAAAACACTGATGGAGATCCAGCCCCACCAATCCTGAACCCTAAATCAGTTTCCCTCCCACCGTCACATCATTACCCTGCCGGAGCCTCCGGAGCTCCCTCCCAGTCGGAGGTTGTTGTAGGCCAGATGGCTGTAAGGGTTGTAGCCCACAAACCCAGGGGTGGAAGGCATTTGCTAATGGAAGACAAATGAGACAAAACACGAATGAAAAATGGCTCACAAACAAGAGGAGGAAGAGGGATTCACAGAAGAAGAAAAAAATGAAACGGGAGGGGAGACATGAGAATATATTTTTATTTTATTTTGCCTGGTTGTTTGCCAAGACACCCCCATGCAGATCAAGAAGAAATAATAAAAATAATTAAAACGAGGTCACCATGGTGCAGGCTTGTATTCAGAATGAGAGCACAACGTGTGGAGATGGCATGATTATCTTTCTCTTGCAAAAAGCTGAAGTTTGATTGTTCAGTCATGTGACTAGTCACTAATTCACTGAAATTTGAAAGCATGCTATGACCCATTTCACTGAGTAAAAAAGTAAAAAAAAACATGACAAGACAAGGCCAGGTGTCTGTAATAACGTTAGCATTAAATGTTTTTTATTGGAGGTGTTGCAATTTAAAAACATATCTTGTGATAATGTTTTGGTAAAGATTGACTGGCCTCCTACTCTACAAGCACATCAAATAAACAACTGTATGTGAGAAGAGAAGCCAAAGCGAGAATGATGACCAGGAGCACTGGAAGATTTGTACCTTTTCAGTCTGTGAGGGTAAAAAAAAAAGTGGATAAAGGGAGAAGTGTAACACAGGAAGATACTAAAAGGAGTGTTAAACTCAGGCACACACACACACTGCAGTCGCTCACTTACTGTTGTTGGGGCTGGGGGAGGGGGAGGAGCATATGATGGTCGTTCTGCACAAAAAAAAAAGACAAAACAGAAAGAAATAAGTTCATCTGATTGGGTTTTGTATTACTTCTAGTCTACTACTTAACCAGTATATGGCCTATAATTGATCAAATAACACATGTAAACATCATCAATATGACTTAACTATTAAGCAGTACTTAAGTCTTTAGTATCATATTGTCTCCTGCAGATTAGGTAGGACTACATGCTCTCTGTTTACAAACAGTAATACAGAATTACTAAAAAAAAAAATCTAATTTCGACACTAAATTACTGATTCACACAAGTGAGTGCAAAACCTCTAACTGTGTAATGTTGATGAACTTACTTGACATCGTGGCTGCAGATTCTTCTCACACAGCAAAAGCTATTCCCATACCGGTCAGCCCTAAGATTCAACAAAATAACAAAAAAATTAACATCAACCGAGTTACTATTGTTTCCTCTGTACATCTGCTACAAATATAGCACATGTTAACGTAAGTTATTTTGTCGAACTGAACGATAAACAAAACAAAAATAACGGCAGAGCGGGCCCTTACAGCTAACACAGCCGGCCTGGTCTGTTAGCCAAACCAGGCTAACACAAAGAGTTAAATTTCTCTTTTAAATTAAGTTGCTGACGTCTAAATCGCACTCGAAGGCACGTTTTTTAGATGAGGGCAATATAATAAACAATAATTATTCATTGTATGGAGTGGTTTGCCACACATGACGTGTGTAAAGCTTTTAAAATGTTTCAATTAAACTCGGTGTTAGCGCCGACAAGAACCGGGTCGAGCTAGTTTAGTGCTTGTCTGTTGTTATTCGTCTTAAAAAGCCACTCTTTCGCTTTAAAACACATCAAAAGGCTTAAAGAATTTTCGCGTTTAAGTTTAAATTGTACATTAAGTTGTTTTCTTTTACACAAACAGGATAAATCCAACACAGACACTTACCCACTCGTCCTTTGTTCCCTATCCACCGCGTCCTGCTTCTTCTTTTTCCGTGTGCAAATCGCGCTCAGCATGTAACTCACAGGTTCATTACCGCCACCTTGTGGACTGAATTGTGAATGGCGTACAATGTAATCACAACTCTATTAAACCTGTTGTTTTTAAATAACTCCAGAGTATTTTTTTAATTTATTAAACAGCTTAAATATGTCGTTGGCAGTTTTTAAAAACAAACTCTAGTTGGACTTTTGATTTATATTCACTATAAATCAAATATAATATTATATAACAATATAATATAATATGTATATTCACTAGTGATAATAATATATAGTATAATAATAGTAATGATAAATAACTATTGCTTTGCGTTTTAATAGTACAATGTAATCACACAACTCTATTTAACCTGTTGTTTTTAAATAACTCCAGAGTATTTTTTTAATACCTTATTATTATTAATAAATAATATATAAATTAAATAAATCTCTCAACTACACCCTTCATAATCCCAGGTTAAAACATATTTTGCTTTTGTATTTTCAGCCAAATGTTCATATTTTCAATTAATTTCCTAAATCTATGTCCTAATAGATGCTGTTAATTTTCACAATTGAAATGTCCTCGTCTGGACAGGTGGAGTAGTGGTTTATTATTTGAGTCATCAATATTTTCCATACATATCATGTAAGAGACACAAGAAATACGACCAACACTGTAAGAACCAGACGACAACACTCGCTGTGTGACGGTGAGAAGATTTTAATATTGAAGTCTGTCACAGAGAAACAACTGAATCCAAATAAAACCTCATCTTTCAGCTGTTTGTTCGTCGGCTCGGTGCTCGACAGTTGACAGACTTTTTAAAAGGGGAAAAATCTAAAACCTTTCTCCCCGTGTTTGAGCTTTTTCTTCAGACTCAGGAGGTCGATGTAGAGGATCTGGTTGAGCACGGCGGAGGCGCACAGCAGGCCACCGTGCACGGCTCCGGCCAGGCCGTTACAGAACACATCCTGACCTGCACACACACGTATACAATTTATGCTGAATATCCAGTTCTTTTTCCATATATATGACATAGTTATGCTAATATTGGGCCAATAATATGGGCCGACTGATCTCATCATCCCCAGATTATACAGGTATTTATTAAATCATAATAAACAAAGAAGATAAAGAAAATAAAAAAATTCATTGTAAACACAGTAAAGGTCAATGCTTCAGTTTTTGGGTCGTGGTCTCACCTGTCAGGTACAGCCCACCCACTGGGGTCTGCGAACGTGTCCTGGCCACCGTTTCAGGGCTGACCCGCTCCAGGTTGTGTTCAGCCCCGTACATCTCACCCCGGGGAGCGCCCAGGTAGTGGCAGTTTGTTAGCGGAGTAGCAGCGTCCACCATCACCACCTGAACGTGAACACACCCAGAGGAACAAACAGGAACAACAACACGTTTGATTCATTTACAAACCACAGTTTTTATGAACCCTATATCTTCACAAGTTGCACATCAAAAAACAATTTTTTATTGTCCCGGAGGAGAGATAACTTTCTTTGAACTGACCTTGTCCCGCAGCTGTGGGAAGATGATGAGTGCCCAGTCCAGCAGCTCTTGGGCCATAGCGTTTTTCAGATCCAGATAATCTTGACCTCTTCGGCCCAGTTTGCTTCCTTCCCACTCCTCGAACCACTCGTAGCGGGCCATGGTGAGTAAAGTCATGCAGGATTTACCTGCACAGACATTATAAAGTACATGAAGTATTTACACCTGAGTACACGCTTCACCTTCACCTGTCTGGAGTTACCTGGATGCCTGATGTTGGACGTGGGATCTTTAGCAGACGGGAAGGTGATGAACATCATGGGAATGTTTCCTAGAACCTGATCTCTGCTCAGGGAAGTGTATCTCTCCATTCTTCACATAAAACCACAGCAACAGATGAGCCGAGTCAGCGATATTCAAAATACAACCAACAAATACGAAAAAAAAACATCTAAAAACCTACAGCACGTCCAAGTCATTGTCCTTGTACATCCAGAAGTTTGTGGAGACAATGTCCAGTTCCTCCTTGGTTCCATCCAGACCAACAAAGACCAGGAAGGAACCCATACCATGGCGCACCATACCCAGCAGAGACCGCACCTCTGCAGAACAGAAACAAAAGGAGTGCAACAGAAGGCAGTGGAGTCAAGAGGAGGTAACACTGGTGGGATGAACTACCTGGAGTTTCCTGAACATGTCGAGGAAGAAACTTCTGGAAGGTGTTGAAGATGCCGGCGTTGGAGATGACGACAGGGGCGTGGACCTCAATTTCCCCCTGTCCCTTCAGCACCGTCACACCTAAAACACCAAAAAAAAAATTTAATTAAAAAAAATGCAAACACTCAGCAATTCTGAGCACATGACAGGGGGCAAAACAGGAGCCACGCTGCTGTATGGATATAAGTCAGGAGTGGCAGAAGAGATTGTGATTTCATTAAGTTGATTTTAACGAAATGCAAACGCTCAACAACACATGACAGGTGGCAAAACAGGAGCCACGCTGCAAGTCAGGAGTGGCAGAAGAGATTGTGAATACGGTGCAAGATGTCCGTCCTCACCACAGGCCTCCCCCTGCTGGTTCAGTAGAATTCGTTGCACAGGAGCTCTGACCAGCACCTTCCCCCCCGCCTGCTCTATGACAGGAATAATGTTAAAGGCAATCTCACTGGCGCCCCCTCGTGGGTAGTAAGCACCACGTTTGTAGTGGTGGATTAGGAGAGCATTGATAAGGAAACTGGATTCCTTCGGGGGAACGCCTGCAAAGAAAATGACAAAATGTGTATTATTAAAAATAACTTCTATAATAATGTGATTTAGGATGTGTGAATGTGTGTGTGTGTTTGTTCAGTACCATAGAAGAAGTACGCCGACAGAGCCTGAAGGTCCTTGTTCTGCGTGATCTGAGACATTATTTCTGAATGGCTGGTTGTTGCCAGGCGGAACACAGGCGATATACAGTCCAACAGGCCGGTACGCACTAACAGGTCAACCAGCCAATAAGGAATCATCTTCAAGATGCTGATCAGCGGGGTCCGTGTGGCAACCAGCTGAAATCAGTATAATATGTTTCAAATATACTGCTTCTAGTGTTTTCACATAAAATAAAAATAAAAATAAAAATAAAAATAAAAATAAAAATAAAAATAAAAATAAAAATAAAAATAAAAATAAAAATAAAAATAAAAATAAAAATTTAATCACAGTAATATTGTCATGTTACCAAATCAAACCAAGTACTGTATAACCCTGTGATCTGGTGACGAAACATGGACAAAGAAACCATCGTCTCTAGGACAGTGCCCTGTGGAACTCCGTACGTCTTTTCTTTTCATTCATCATATTTTGGTGTTTTGTTGTAAATACTTTAACCAGTTCATACCTTCATTAATCTCATTAACTCATCGATGGACTTTTCTTCACCGGGGAACTGCTTCTTCAGGCTCGCTGCCATCTCAGTTTTCCCTGCGTGGATGTAATATTCCCTGGAAACAACGGGCAAGAATTTTGTTGGTACTAAAACAGACGTTATTAATACTGAAAACAAACAGACAGACAGAGAGAGAGTCCAGAGTTGGACCTGCGCTGCTCCGGCTGACCCAGGACCACCGTGTCAAAGTGTTGTCCCAGACGAGCGAACTGTAGCTGTCCGTCTGAGATCTGATCCAGGGTGATCCGCAGCAGGCTGTTCTCATGAAGCTGGCCCAGGTAATGGATGCCTGGTGGAGGCAGACAGAATTATCAACACACACAAAACCAACCCAAACACATCAACGGGAGGAGGAGGAATTCACTGGTGTGGGAATATTTTTGTCTTCTTACCAACATCAAACTCAAAGCCCTTGTTCTGGAAGGTGTGTGTGCAGCCTCCGGCCTGATCGTGCTGCTCCAGAACCAAAACCTTCTTCCCGGCTTTGGCCAAAAGTGCGGCGGCCGTCAGTCCTCCGATACCACTCCCGATCACCACTGCATCCAGAGCGGAGGGAACTCGGTCGGCGCGGAAACCTGTTAGCCAAAAAAAGTGCATAAATCAGTCAAGTTCTCCAGAACTATTGATCAAATGTGTTTAAAAATGCTAATAAACTGTGACTAAAGAATAGCCTAGCATAGTGTTTCTCAACATGTGGCACATGGACCCCCTAGGGGTATGTGAGAGGATTGCACAGAATATTTTTTTGTTTGAAGACTATTACTTATTATGCTAGTTAGTAGCTAAAAAGTAGTTATTTGGCGTCCATTAGGGGGTGCTGTTGCTGATTTTTCTTTTCTTTTTACATTACACTCAGTACAAACACTTACAGTGACCTGAGGTCAACGCTGCTGCTCTACCTAAGAACTCCTGATCTTCAGTGAAAGTCAGTGCCGTCATCTGGTTTTGCTGACTAAACAATCAGACGACAGCTTCCTGTTTACCTTGTTTCAGCCTCTCATCCCTCTGTTGTCTGTCAGTGACCAGGGGTCCCGGGGGTCTCAGGCAGCTCTCACTGAACACCCTGCAACGCTGACGTGTGGTCAGGAAGATGATGACGGCCAGCAGCAGCACGCCGCTCGACAGACCGAGCAGCAGCCACCAAGAGGAGGTGAGCATCGTTGGAAAAACAACGGCGGAGGAAGAGGAAGAGGAAGAGCCGAAGAAGAGTAAGAAAGTCGAAGGAGCGGCGCAGCAGGTCGGTATGAGCGACCGGAGGAAAAAGCTGTTCTCCAACAGGAACATCAACATCCACCAGGAGGAGGAGAAACCCCCCCCCCCCCCCCCCCCCCCCGCCCATCCCCCCCCCCCCTCCACTGAGATCATGAGGCTGGCAGAGAGTCAGACGGAGAAGAGAGCGGTTTGTTCAAACCCATTTTCTCAGATGTTCATTTGATGCTGATTATTGAATGACCTCAGGATGTAGAACGTACAAAACCCCTCTCTGACTCTGATGGTTCCACTGCATCAGAGAACAAGGACGCCTTTAGAACCAGCGTACGGTCGGAGAACGTGTTCCACCAACAGGAACTCTTGACACTCATTTTTGACCGGATTGAGTTGAAGTTGAAAGTTTTGCTCTGAGATGAAAAACACAGAAGTTTTTCAAACCAGTCCTTTATTGAAGACAGATTTACACCAGGTCATACAACTACATGCCGTGTGATGTCATGTCTTTCTGCTCTTCTGATTGGCTCAAACTGTTCAACACCAAATAATCTTTTTTTCATCCCGACTGTGATTCATCTGTTTCCTTTACACGGTCATTACATTCACAGACAGAGACTGACAGGAAGTCACCCTGATGTTATAAATAAAGGTACAGTCCACAGATTCACACAGCCCTAGGTTTGATGTCACGTTTCGGAGCAGTGTGTAAAACTGTCGTCTTTTAGAGCAGAGCCGCACTCTTGTAACAGAGAAATATCAAAGGACCTAAAAATACATGAAATGTTCCTTTTCATGTGACAATTATCCACAAAAATAATCTACACACTGGGTCTGGATGTAGAATTCTGAAACTTTATGATTTTAATTTTTGCAGTAAGTGATAAAAAAAACCCTCAGAGTTTTGATCGAGTGCAGTGACTATTAAGTAACAAAATGATTTTATTGCATTTGTGGTTTTCTTTACGGAAAAACAACCGTCGAGAGACAACGATAAACAGCCGCATGTGAACGTGAAACTATTAAGAATTAAACAGAAAGAGTGAACGATAAATATAATAAATAAAAAAATGAAAACATAAAACATTTTTTTTTCCAAAGAGCGTCACTAATGTGTCAGTGCGTCAAACATTTTTTTCCAATGTTTTAAACGAATCCCTGCTCTGAGCGTCACTAATGTGTCAGTGCTTCAACATCTCGTCTGTACAAACAGATTATTTCACATTAAATCGTCTTCAGCAGCTGCCGTAATAAAAGATCTTTAAAAGAGTTTCATGTTTGGCACCACGGACAACGTCACACGTTCTGGACGAAAACGGAAAAAAAAAAAAACCACAGACAAAAAAGACACAAAAGTTCTAGGTGTCGTGCTGTTCACTCAAAGGCCACCGTGCCGCGTTCCGACCGACGTCGTCCTCGTCACCACAGCAGTGACAGGACGAGGCAACGATCTCAGACGGCGTGAATCGACGCAACTGCTAACTACGAACGGCGCGAAACCGAGACGACGAAACACGTGTGAAAAAAATGTGGGGAAATTTTCATGCACTTTAAATAGAAGAGAAATAAAGTTTAAATTTACCGTGAATTTCACATCTGTGAACCACGTCGGTGAAACGATGTCGTCGTTTTAAATGTGAAAAGTATGAAACACATTTGAATCCAAAGTTATAGCTTCATTTTTCTGGAGTGTAAACAATGATTTTTACGCTGATGATGAGCATCAGGTTTGGCACAAAAATGTAGAAAAAACACACACACACACACACACACACTCATTGACCGGTTCATTCCTCCAGTTCTGACCAACACACCTGTGTATTTCTGGATGTTTCCATCCATTTTTCACACAGTGCTATGTTTTCAGCTCTCTCTGTCTTCACACTCCCCTGACCCCTGACCTCTGACCTCTGGCCTCCGCAGCTCCAGTCCTAGAACACCCAGGTGACAGGGACCCACTGGGGGTTTTTGGACACGGTCTCCAGAGCGACCTTGACGGTACGGTAGGTCTCGTCCAGGTTGTCGTTGACGATGCTCAGGTCGAAGTAGTGACCGAACGCTGCTTGGATCTTGGCGCTGTCTTTACATGTCCTCTGTAGTTCTTCATCCTGAGGAGAAGGGGGCGCTGGTGATGAGACTTGTCAAAATAACAGGCCTATGACTTCGACAGACAACTGCTGAGATGTGACAGTGAACTGCAGGTGTGTCTCACCGTGAGCGTCTGGGTCACGACCTCGGCCTCTACTGCAGAGTGGTTCATGGCCTTCAGAACCTCGAACTCCGGAGACTGGAGGAAGACCACGTAGGGCAGGAACTCTGACGTCCTCAGCACTTTGAGAGACTGAGTGGAAACGAGGAAAAGTCGGAGAGATGTTTTCAGACGTTCCTTAAACCCGACTGACTTTGACAGTGAAGGCATCACCGTGTGTAACTGTGTCACATGAACCTAAATATATATTGACTGACTTTACGGAGTGGTGACAGTGAAGGCATCACCGTGTGTGACTGTGTCACATGAACCTAAATATATATATGTATAATATACACAAGTCTATGTACATTCACATATACAAAAATAAATACATATAAATTATAATAAACTCATATAGAAGCATTAATATTAGTGGAAAATCGTCATAATAAAAACAATAATAATTGTCTAATTAAACCTGATGACCTGCTGTCTCCCCCTAGTGTTGTTACAAGTTACAACAACACCTAACACCAAATCCTTTTTGGACAGATCTCTCAGTGTGGAGGCTGAGTGTGCACATACCTGAGGGTTGGCGTCCAGTATGCAGACGCGGCCGGCCTCCACCACCTCGTGTATGGAGTCAGTCTTGATCCCGTACAGGTTGCCGTTGTATTCGCCGTGTTCCAGGTAGCGTCCATTTTTTATATCGGCTTCCATCTTGCTGCGGCTGGTGAAGGCGTACATCCGACTCTCGTGTTCCCCCTTTTTGGGCTTCCTGGAGGTATCTGGGAGAGAGGAGTAATGAACACACACACACTGCTGCAGCTGACTCAGATTTACGACCTGCTGAATTAAAATTATAATTATAATTAAACCCCAGAAAGTGTAGTGTGGAATAATAATGGAAACCTGAGAGTCCGTACATGGGATGGTGGTGCCGAACAGATGTGGATCCAAGAGCAGAAGCTTGTTCTTCAGTCTCCGCCTCCCCACACCCTGGGCACCAATCAGAATCAGAGTTTTCCTCTTGAAAGGCGGCACTTTGGCCACCTCCTCATACAGCAGTATTTCATGTCTGTCAAACTCTGCGATGACGGAGGGAAAAAATAAACAAAGCCACATATTAGTGAAGAAAGGAAGAGAAAAGATTTTCCTGTGTGAAAACTTTGTTGATGTGATTTTTTTACCTGCGTTCTTGGTGGTCACGTACATCATCTTCTTCTTTTTCTTTCCTCCAACACCAGTGCAAAGATTTCCTATTTAAAAACAAAAAAAAAACAGTAGCATCACATTAGTTGTTGCTACATATTCCTTCCAAGTTCCAAGTCAACAACTCTCAAATTAGCCCACTGTTTCCCAAAGTGTGGGGCGGGGTCACAAAACTGA